AAGAAAGAGATTTTTGATGCTGAGGGTGTTGAGCCCCTGGCCCAGGCTGCCCAGAGAGGTGGTCGCTGCCCCATCCCTGGAACCATTCCAGGTGAGGTTGGTCAGGGCTCTGATCACCCTGCTCTAGCTGCAGATGTCCCTGCTCCCTGCAGGGGGTTGGACTGGGTGACCTTGGAAGGTTCCACACATGCTCAGAGGCTCAGGTCCAGCTTACAGAGCTGCCACTGCAGCCCACAGCTACTGCTCTCCCAATGGCTGCTTCCAAGAACAGACTGAACCAAAGAAACTCTTCCCAGAGTTCACACTGGCCCAGTGCAAACTGCACTCGTGCTGTGAGCAGCAACCCACTGCCCACACCTCATCCAGGGGGGCAGGGGCAGGAAGGAGCACAGCTCTTGTGTCAGAGGATCAACTAATGGACCACAGAGAGGAAGAGCCTAAGGGCCAAGAAAACGACTTCCTGAGGCTGGTTGCAGATCAGCATTGCTGCTTTACGTTTAAAGGAGCAGTGAAATAACCTGAGACAGCTCTGTTCCCAAACCAGAGACCTTACCAGGTACCAGCCCTGCTCTGCTCTCCTTTTCTGGAGCCTGGAGGGTTCTTCTCTGAGGGGCTGGGCTGAAGAAGACACCCATTGGAGCCCACTCCAGATACAACGGTGTAGAATGGAACTGTGAAGAGAACACAGGAGAGGAATGAGGAGGGAGGGCAAGGCCTGAAGGAAAAGCTCTGCTCTCAGCCTTACCTTCCTCTTGCTCTCTAAGGGAAAACATCAGTGGAGGAACAGAGCAGCTTCTTCTGATGGCCAAACCCCTCACCAACAGAGAGCCTGCGTCCTCCCTCCCACAGGACCCTGCTGCCACACACCACACTCCTGTATCCCAAAAAAGTCAAAGAAACCCTCTCTGGGCCACCAGTTCTTTTCTAGATGGGTCACAGCCCCCTCCCTCAAGGCTCAGAGCCTTACTCAAGCCACTGCTTCACAAGAATGCACTGGGCATCTCCCCAAATCCAAGGAACAGCAGTGGCTCCGGGAGAACTCCCTTCCCTCAGGAGCCCTCTGCCTCTTCCACCTGCAGCAGCCTCACAAACAGCCAAGATCCACCCTCCAGGCAGCTCCTACCCCTCGCCACGCTCACCTTGGTGTAGGCCAGCTTGGTGAAGGCTTGCTTGGCCTCGGTGGGCTCCAGGAACTCCACAATGGCTGTGATGCCTCCTTCTGGCAGCAGCACCCTGCCCAGGCTGCCGTGCTTGCCAAAGACATCCTCCAGCTCTGCCACGCTTGTGCTGGCTGGCAGGTTCTTCACCAGGATCACTGTCTTGCTCCTCTCCCCAGCAGCCTGCCACGCCCAGCATGGGCAGAGAGGGGAGATGGGATTTCAAAAGCAAACCCAGGTCTTTTGCCCAGTGAAGATTTCAGATCCAACTCATTTCAGATCCAAGATTTCAGAGCTCCCTCGCTCCACGTCAATGCTTTCCAGGATCCAAGATCCATCTAGGAAACGTTTTCCCCAAGACCCACTCCCCAGTACAATCTCCCTGTTCCACAAACAGCCATGTATGGAGGTTTCAGCTCCAGATCCACCCTGCTATGGACATGGAACTTCTCCTCTGCCTACAGCAGGCTGGCTCTCACACCATAAGCCATCATTTCAAGCATTCCCAGGGCAGTTACATTTTCAAATGGACAGAATGTTTCCTAACTCATCTAAGGGTTCGAGACCACAAAATGCTGAGGGTTTAATTATTAATTTCAAAGAGAGCTGAGGACACCAGGACCAGGCACTCACATAGAAGAGGTAGGGCCACACCACTGCCTCCAGCTGGGCTTCTCACCTGACTGAAGGAATCCAGGCTGACTCCGTTCTCAATGAGGAACCGGCGAATTTCCTGCACCAGCTCGGTTTCTCCCAGAGCAACCCTCACTGCCACGCTGTCTTTCCCTTCCTGCAAGCAAGAAGGTCAGTCATCTGTTGCTCCTCCTGCTCCCAGAAGCACTTGCAAAGGGAATTTGGCAGAGAGCTTGAAGGTAAAATGCTCCAGCTCCTCAGAAGCTGCTGGGTTTTGATTTTGCTGTTAAGAGTCAGAACGCTCCCCAAGGCAAAATGAAGCTTCCAGGAAGGATCTGAGGGTGGAAATTGCCATCAAGTTATGTGGAAATGGAGAATTCAGCCACAGAACAACAGAGTGGGAAGGAGAGCTGGAAGCATCACTCTGTCTCCCAGCACCAAAGGGCTTGTTAAGCTCAGAGCCCCCAGAGAAGCTGCAGCACCACTGGTCTCCCAGCTGCTTGATGATGCAGGGAGGCTTCTGCTGCACGAGAAGACCAGGCACAAGGTCTTCTGGTCCTCTGGGCATGAGGAAACAAAAGCAATCTCCCATCCCAGCTGATCAACAACCCAACTCACGTGGTCCAGCACTTGGCTTTTGGAAGCGTTGTACTTCTCAGCGATGGCGTCGGCCACGGCGTTTGTTCCCACAAACAATGTGTTCCAGTTGTGAGAGCTGGGGAGAGAAGGAAGAGCCAGATTCAGTCCTGGGGTCCCTCCTTCCACTGCTGTCCCTCCAGTCAATGGCCCTGGGAAAAAACAGCTTTGAATGCCGCCAGTGGCAGCCAGGGCAAAGAGTTAAAGAAGGCTGGAATGTCCTTAGAGAAGGGATGAAGCTTCTGCCACATCTTTCCAGCTAATTAGTCACACAGAAAGATAAAGTTCCTACAAGTGTTAGAAATACAGGTGGTCAAGTAGAGGAGAAAGACCCAACTGATCTGAAATCACCCCCCCTAAAGAATTACAGCAGCAGGTCAACCTTTAGGAGACACCCAAGAAACAAACTTGTACACAAAGCCATTTAAAGCCATGTTTTTCTCAGGTCCTGCTGCTCACTGAACTACTGGAGCTACTTGGACAGAGAAATCAAGGAGGAGAGAGATGAAAGAAGAAGAGGTGCACAGTAAATGCTTCACTGATGTGGGTAATGGACACAAAGACCGCACTTGCACTCTTGCTGCTTGAGGATTGGGCAGGTTGTGTTGTCTTGCAAGACACCTCTGTACCTGGCACTGCTGGCTTTGTCCTTGGCCCCTTTCTGCTTTTTGTAGGAGGACGATTCTTCTGCTCCTACATCTTCTATTTTTTCCTTTCTGATTGTGGACGGTAAAAGATGCATCATTCTGCCCTAGAAGAAAGGAAGAAGAGGTCCAGCAGCTCTAAGAGAACTCACAGAAGGTCAAGAACTAAACAGAGCAGAGGAAATTTTCTGGCACCTTTTCCAGTCAAGCAGCCCAAGTGGAAAGAGGGAACATTCCTTCCCAAAGGAGACATTACTGCATTACACACAATGTGAGAGACAGACTCAGATCTCCACCTCCACCTCAGATTTTGGTACTTGCAAGGCTGCTCAAACCTAACTACTCTACCAAGAGCAACAGCAAGGCAGAAGAGAGAAACTCAACCTTTTCTGCAAAGCACAAAAGCAACCACTTGGCCACCTTACTGACAGACATCCCCACCAGCTGCAAGAAAACTATCAGTCCCCATACCTGGAACACTTGCCCATCCAATTCTGCATAGGCCTTCACTGCATGCTCAGGAATCATGTAGGTGATGAAAGCAAATCCTTTGGGTTTCTTGGTCAGTCTGTCGATGGGGAAATGGATCTCGGAGAGGGGTCCTGCAAAAGGCAAGGCTGCACCCTGAGAGATGTCCTTGGACAGCCACCACATGCTCCACACCTGCACCTCCTGGCCAAAGCCAGGGAGAAGGGGAGCCAGGGAGGGCAGAGAAGCTCTGGATCTTGCAGAGGGTTGGTGAGGAGCCACCAGCCTGGGTGAGAAGCTGCAGACTGACAAAGCAGTTCCAGTAAAAGCCCCCCCCATGTCTGGCTGCGTGTGGCAATTTGACACGACACAAACCAGGCAGGCTCTGAGCAGCTGCATTTACCTTCGGTCAGGAATCAAGATCTCCACACCTCACCCTCTGTGCCCACTCTAATGCCAAGGGAACCTAAGATTTAACTTCGTGGTAGAAAAGGGGAGCTTCAACCTTCCACCTGAGGTGCCAAACATGAATCTGGGGTGTATCTCAGAGCTTCACCTCTTACCTACAGCACTTAGACATCTCCTGCATGATCAGTATTTCATGCAGCAGGTGCTTTTGGCTACCTTCTCCTCCTGCCCAGCCCAGCTCAGTCTGGCAGGAGCTTTCAGTGTTGTCTCAGAGGTGTGGTGAGAAGGGTGAGGGGCAGAGTACACACTTCAAGCAAAGCACAGACCCTGTTTCAAACCCAAGCACCACACACGACCACAACAAGCAACAGAGGTGGTGGGACCCAGTCCACATGCAGGTGTGGGACACAGAGCTCCATCCACCCACCCCCAGCAAGAAAACCTCTGTGTGCACCAAGGAAAGACACAGACCCCCCAGGTTCCATCCCACAACAAATCCTTACCGTACTTGGAAAAGACCTTCTCCAAGTCCTCCTCAGTGCTGGTAAAGGGAAGATTCCTGACAAAGAGTCTCCCTGATTCAGACAAGTCCTCTTCTTCCTCATCATCCCTCTTCCTCCTTTGCCACAGCTGGTTGGCAGGTTTTGCTGCAACAGTCTCTTTTGGGGCTCCCCTGCACCGGAACACCTCGACGCATCGTCCCCCTAACCCCCAGACCCACACAGGGGCAAGTGAGATGCTTGCCAGGACCACGGGCAACCCACCTCAGTGCACAGGGAGCCTGGGCTCCCAGCAGTGCCAGGGGCTGTTAAAATACCACAAGCTTTCAGCAGAACTCTGCCTAACTTAAAAAAACAAACTAGGGGAGGGGCTACAAGAGATTAGTCTGCATAAAACCCAAGAGATTTGCTACACAAGGCCACAGTCTCTGTGGCTCTCAGAGAGCTCTGTGCCAGCCTAGCCCCCAGGGGGTATCCCCACTCTGCCCAGGAGTTGTGTAAAACATCCTTTTAGCAGTTCCACGATGGCCTAAGGCCAGGGAGAGGTTTTGAACACAGGCTTCCAGCAGGGTTTGTACAAATCTCTTGGGCTATCCCAACCAGATTGAAACAATATCATTTTTATGACTTTTTTTTTTTATGATATAGGGCCAGATACACTTCCAGCACACTACAAAAAAAGAGGGCTGAAGGGCCAGGCGTGCAAGCTCAGCCACTTGCCAACTCTCTGCTGCTCCTGGTTTACCTCATTGTCAGCTGAGCAGAGCAAACCAACCCCCCCATCAGCCTGGGAAGAAGCAGAACAAGGGGAGACACTTCTGCAGGGAACACTTCAGCAGCTGAGCACCCTGCCAGCAGCCAGCACAAGGAGGAACAAACAGCCCTTACCCAGGTATTCTTTTTTACGTTTCAAGGCCCTCTGCACTTCTGCTTTGCTCTTCAAGTCAACAAAGATGTAACCTTGGAGGGAGGAAAGGTTCAACTGAGCATCATGTGGGCAACACGCAACGGCTAATTGGCTCATTAAGGGTGAATTGGGCTTTCTTTGGGATAGATTCCTATAGGTAAAGCATTCAGCTCCCATTAAAGTTTCAATCCAACGTGCAAATGGCCATGTTAGACTGGAAGGATGGCTTTTGAAAGCTTATTCTCTACATACAAACCAAAGAAGCCCAACTTAACAGCTGAAGTGGGCTTTCAGGGGTGTCTCCAAGAGGAAATAAAAGGTGCATCTGCTGTTAGGCTATGAAAGGAAAACAGCACATAGCAAAGTTCCCTGCCAGCTCTGAGGACCTGCTCCACACTCTCCCTGATGGGTAACTCCAGCAGCCAGAGTGTCAGGAGACCCACCTTGGCTAAAGACTGTTCTGCAGCCAGTATCACAGCACGGTGGGGTGGGAAGGGACCTCTGGAGATCACCATCCAAGCCCCCTGCTCCAGCAGCTCACCCACAGCAGGGTGCCAAGGGTCACACCCAGGAGGGTTTGGGATCTCTCCAGAGAAGGAGAGTCCACAGCCTCTCTGGGCAGCTGCTCCAGGCTTGGACACTCTCACAGAAGGGGATTTTCTCCTCCTGTTGAAATGGAACCTCCTGGGTTCCAGTTTGTGCCCACTGCCCCTTGTCCTGTCACTGTGTATCACTGACAAGTCTGGCCCCAGCCTCTTGCCCCCCACTGGCCCTTTAGCTCTTGCTCAGCATTGATCAGATCCCCTGAGTCTTCTCTTCCACAGGCTGACCAGCCCCAGGGCTCTCAGCCTGTCCTGGCACAGAGATGCTCCAGGACCCTCAGTATCTTTGTAGCTTCCACTGGACTCTCACCAGTAGCTCCTTGTCTCTCTTGAACTGGGGAGCCCAGCACTGGACCCAGTACTCCAGAGGTGGCCTCACTGTGGTAGAGCAGAGAGGGAGAAGAACCTCCCCTGACCTGCTGGTTACACTGCTCCTAAGGCACCCCAGGATACCACGGGCCTTCTTGGCCACGAGGGCACATTGGTGGCTTATGGTTAACCTGATGTCCCCCCAGCTCTCCCAGATCCTTCTCCTTGGAGCTGCTTTCCAGCAAGTCAACCCCACACCTCTACTGGTGCAGGGGGTTATTCCTTGCCCAGTGCAGGACCTTCCACTTGCCCTTGCTGAACTTCATTTAGGCTCCCCTCCACTCAACTCTCCAGCACATCCAGCTCAAAAAAAAAAGTTTCTGCACAGGTCAGCAAAGCCCCTGGGTGCTGCTGCAGCTATGCCAGAGGATATTCCTTTCCTTGGCACGCTTTGGGAAGTTCCAGAGGCTCCTGCTGCTCCTCCTAAAGGAGCACAGCCAACTTTACTCTGCCCACGGCATCCTAGGGACAGCAACTAGGGCAGGTGAGCTGCAAAGTCACAAGACGGTCTATAGGAATTGGGCCAGTGATTTGGATTTGCAGATGAAAAGAGCAGAGGGGTGACCGAGAGGTCCTTCAACTCACAGATCCAACCCCCCCCTTCCATACACATTACCTTTATTCTTCCCCTGGGCTTTTTTTCCTATCCTGATTGCCACTGGCTTCAGAGGGAAGAAGAATTCACGAATCTTCTCCTGTGGGAAGAATTAAAACTGTTTTAAAACGTTCTTAGATAAAGGAAGCAGCAGGTTTCAGACTTGGGGGGTTTTTTAGACACGCTCTAAAAACCATGTGCAATGTACATCTCTGAACAAAGTCAGCTCAGAAGTTTCCCCTCAAAACAGCTCCACAAGTGAAGGCAGAAGCTGCAGGAAGGATCACACCCAGTCACACACTGAAGACCCTCTACCAAAGCTCACCTCAGTGATGTTGAACGGAGCACCACGAAGTTCTACTGTGTATGGTGTGCTGGCTTCTGCTGAGCTGCCTTGGCTCTGGACAGAAGGATGGCGAGAAAAAGAGAAACCAAGTGAAAACCAGCAAAATTCTCACCACAAGCAGGTCTTGTCCAACAGCAAGGGTGTGAAAGGTGAGAGACACGTGAAGAGGTTCTCACAACTGCACCAGCCTGGGCGGGAGGTGCCAGATAAGGTTTGGCTGGGCTAGTCAAACCCAGGCGCTAAGAACTGACTTCTGCAGACAGAGATGGACACAGGAAAACCAGAAAAGCCTCTGAAAAGGGCACGAGCAGCATGTGTTTGGAAGCCTCATCTTTGGGAATTCAATCAGCATTAAGAGGAGATCCTGCAAACTTTAACAGCTCCCACCCAGCGAGCCAAAAAAGCTGGTAGCTACAGGGTCCTGCAGCCTTCAGGCTTTCAGCTCAGCCCTGGAGTCACTGCCAGACCCACGTTACCCCATAAAGCTCCTGCTTTAAATAGGACAAAAGTCTCATGCAGCTATACCTCTAGTGTGGATCCTTTTTTCTTCTTCTCCACTGGTGTCTCTGGCTGTGTTTGTTGGGCTTTTGCCTTCCCCTTTTTCTCTGTGTGGGTGCTGATGGTTTCTGCAATGCCTGAATCCTCCTCCTCCTCCTCACTCTCCTCCTCCTCCTCACTGTCTGTTTCTTCCTCTGTACTGGATGAGGAGGAGGAATCCTTCACCACTTTGGATTTCAGGTAATCCATATCTGAGAGGTCTTTGCTGGTAGCTGCCTTCTTCCCTCCTTTCTTTGCTATCAGAGGGGAGAAACCAGAGCAGGTTTGCACACAGAGGCTGCTGCTCTCTCCCCAGCCAGGCACAAGCTGAGAACTGACACAATCATCAGAACCACCTTCCCCTCCTCTACCCTTTCCATGGGAAGGGAAGGCTTGAGCTATTAAAACAGACCTCTGGATCACTGTTTTTCAAAACAGTTCACGTATAAACCAAATTAGAAAGCAGCTTGAGGAACTCCAAAGCAGCATATTTTGTCCCAGTTTTAACTACATACTTCCAGCAGACCCCAGAGAAAGTTTTCAACGTTCATCAGTTTTGCAGGGCAAAGGACAGAGGAAGTTGTTTCTCCCAAAAAAAACCCTCCAGCCCCTGCCAAAGATCACCCCTACATTTTAGTTACCCAAGGTGGGATGGGGAGCTGCAGTGAACAAGTTCTGTTCACTCCAACAGAACAGTGTAAGGAAATCCCATCAGGGAGGGAGAAGGCTCCAAACCCACATTCATCACTGGTGCAGGGACACTGGATTCTGAGAAGACAACCACCAGACTGCAAGCCAGATTTCTCAGCCTCTGTTCACCCACTGCTCCACTAGATACAGTTTGCCTTTCAGGATCCAGGATACTGAACTATGACCCTTCCCAGCAACTCTGACACACCAACATTTCCACAAACAGACACCAAAGGCAGCCCAGACCCCTTCACAGACATCAGCTATGGGTTATTAAACAAAAAAAAACCACATCCAGCTCTGGGAGCCCTGGAGATGAAGGCAGCTGCAGGCTAGGAGAGCACCTGGGGAAAGATGCAGATGTTTGCCCTGTTATTCCTCCCTAGATATTGACTTAAGGACCCAGGGGAAGCACAAACACCATCCCCTTAGTGTCATAAACTGCATTTCCCACATTTCCCCAGATTTGGGAGAACACCCATACACCCACAGCACACAGAGTGAGTCCCATGCTTGAGAAACCACCCTCCTGATTCCACTGTCTCCACTTGGAGGCAGGACTCTTCACATCTGCTCTCACCTCCCCCGAGACAAAGACAAGCAAAGGGTTGTGGCTCCTTCTGGTACCTTTAGTTTCCTCCTCATCTCCAGAGGCTTCATTCCCCTCCTCCTCACTCAGCTCCTCAGACTCATCTGAATCAAAGTTGAGATAATCAGCTGCTGACTTGGATTTTCCCTTCTTGGGCTCCTCTGCCAAGGTGTCATTAGCCCAAGTGGCCACCTGAGACCGTTTTTGGTGAACCACCAAGAACTCCTGGAATGTTTTATCTTCTTCCAGCTGTTGAAAGACAAACCAAACAGACAAGCTGTGAAGATAGGCACAAGAGAGCTAGAAAACATCACATTCAAAGACATCACCTCATTTCTAGCAAGGTAAAAAGTTCCTTAAAGGGGAGTCGAAGTGGCACTCACAAGGAGAGCACCCGAATTGACTAAAGTCTTCTCAAGATCTCCCAGTCCTACTCCTCCTTTCTTGTATTTGACATTTAGAAAAGCACTTTAAAGAAAACAAAGCATTAAAAAAGGAGAAAACAGACAAGTTCCACGTCTTGAATGAAGCTGAAAACCAGAGCTGCAGAAACAGGTTTGTCCTGGATGCAGTGTGTGCTCACACAGGAGTAGGTGACAATTAAAACACTGGTCCCCAGTGTTTGGAGTGTTAAAATAATGGTTTGTGACAGTGGTGTGGAACTGACACAGAGTTGGTTAAACCACACACCTTGCCCCAGTTAACAGCATGGGAAGCAGCAGAGAAAACAGCTCTTATTCAGCTCTTGCTCTTAGCACAAGCTAGAAACAACGTGGGGATTGCAAACCAACCTCAACTCACCTCCTTTAAGTTTTCTGCTGGATCTTTCTTCTTTTTTCCCTAGGGGAAAAAGAAAAAGTAAATTAGAAAGACTTATTAAAAGCAGAGGCAAGATGATTGCTCAGGTAACCTTACAGTACAGGGAAAACACATCCCAAATATCACAGCTAAGACTACAACACCTGCTGTCCCAGCTCCTCTATCCCTTTCTCCACACAGGATCACCTTCCTCTCTGGAATTCCCTGACATAAACCAGAACCTCAGGGAAACACACAAGACTCACTTTCTTTGTGCTTGCAGGAGCTGCACTTGCCACAGGTTTCTCAGTCTGTTTTTCTGAGGCAGGAGCCTTCTGGGAGTGCTTGCTCCATGCTTTGGGTTTTGAAGGGTCCCCAAAAGGCTTGCATAACTCGACCTAAAATAAATCAATCAGATCTGTAATTAAACATATAACAGTCTGGTGGTGTAACTGCTGGACAAGCCTCACCCAGGAACCCTTCTTGTTACCCTGATGGGATGGAGGGGCAGTGTGCAGGAGAGGAAGAGACAACTTCACACAGATACCCATTTCTGAAGCACAGAGCTACATATTTGAACATGATTCAAATTTAAAGAAAATTAAACTGTCACTCAACACAGCACAACAGTTTGCTGGGCTCACTGAAGCACAGTCACATAAGTTGTCCTGTTTACCCCAATCTCTCTCCTGTTCAGAACAGCAAGATGAATAGCTTTAAATGAAAAGTGACCTCAAGTTCAACAGTTCAGGGTAGGCCAGCTCAAAACCTGACACTGCTGTTCCAGCCAGCACTGAGATGCTTGCTAGTGCATGAAGACAGCCCACCTGTATCACCTACCTGCTTCAGACTCCAGCACTGAGGCCTGGCATCAAACTTTGCAGAGGAATTAATCTCTAGGCTTTCTTAGCACCCAACTATTCACCCCTAAGACCACCAAAATCCCCAAGGACAAACTTCCTCGCTAGCCAGAAGAAGGTGTCTTTAAAACTCAGCTCACTGTGATTCTGGAGGTGTCTATGAAGCTTCTGTTGAAGTGGTTCAGTGCTGTTTGAGCTTCTTCTTCAGACTTGTAGCCAATGAAGCCAAATTTCCGGAACTTGCCATCCTTTGTGAACTTCAAGCAGCAGTCAGTCAGGGTGCCAAAGGCAGCAAACAGCTTCCTGAAGCGCTCCTCCTTCATCTGGGAAAGCAGGACAGACAGCAGGAAGGCAAATCAGCAAGGAGACACAACTAAAGAGGTGCCCCGAGGACAAGTCCCAAACGTTTTCCAGCAGAAGGCTTCCAAAGTGCTACAGGAACCACACAGTGTTGTGGCAACGCTGATAAAAACACCACAGGTCAGCGACCAAGCTCCTTCCTCTCCCCCACGAATCCTCTCTACACGTAAAGGTCTCAAAGTGCAATGTCCCCCCCAGATACAGGGTGCACCCTGCTCTCAGGGCCTCACAGCGCCGTCCCAAACGTTTTCCAGCAGAAGGCTTCCAAAGTGCTACAGGAACCACACAGTGTTGTGGCAACGCTGATAAAAACACCACAGGTCAGCGACCAAGCTCCTTCCTCTCCCCCACGAATCCTCTCTACACGTAAAGGTCTCAAAGTGCAATGTCCCCCCCAGATACAGGGTGCACCCTGCTCTCAGGGCCTCACAGCGCCGCCCTGCCCCAAGCAAGCCCCCAGTTCAGCCACAGGCACGGTGACACCCCCCCCGGGGGACCCGGCCGGGGGCAGAGCAGCACAGCGTGCACCTGCAGCCAG